TAGTATGTTGCGGTCTATATTGGGGCCCCCTTATTGTTGGAAACGTTCACACCCAATTCTCAAGCGGTGGTGCCTTGTATTGAGAGACTTTCTCTACACGCATAGGCCTCAAACCTACGCCCTGGACCCCAATCCCAGGACAGGAGTCCCTAAACCAGACGCGGTTCCTAAACCCTAAGCCCTAAGGTCCTAACCATGGGCCCCAATATGGGCCCCTACCTGCTTCCAATACTTTAATATATTATCATATATTATGATGTAGCATAATAAAAAAACAATATACTAGAATATTCTGTAGTCTGTTGTAATAGTATATAACGTAATATAAACCCTATCAAAGCGGCCCCAGCCCTCAGCTGATCCGTTTCCAAACGCCTGCCAAAGAGGCGGAGGGCCTGGTGAACAAGCACCGGCGCCTAGCCGAGGCATCCGAGAAGGCCCAAAGCAGTGTTGTTGCCTGGGTTGACCAGGGGTCTCGCTTGACCTTCCAAATACCCAATCATAGCTGTTGACATTCAAAATAAATGGCATGCAGTCTTTGATTTGGGAAGTTTGTGGCCACGTTTGCTCGAAGTCCGTGGTGTCGGGGATTTGACAGTTTTGCCGGGCATCTGCAGGATAAGAGTACCGGCAGTCAAATAGCAGCAATGACAGCGAGTGACGCGAGTGACACGGTTGATCATGCGCGGAAGCAGCTGCAAAAGCCAGGGTACCGGTGCTCGCGGTTGCAATCGTGATAGACGCACTTGCACCCATGGCAAGGGGACCCTCCAATTTTGGTGACTATGAAGCAACTCTGCGGTTTGAAGCCTGCATCTTCAGCTAGAAGCGAACCCCTAGCTGGATTCCCCAAAGTAGGGCAATTATTCTACATACTTCTGGGGTCCAGATGTCAGCCCTAACCCACAAGTTGCTTGGGAGGCCTTCCTGCAGGCCAAAATGGATGTCGACCACGCTGAGAGGCAGTGCTTGGACTCTGAGCACGAGGCCGCAGGGACGTCGGGAGCACTTTGGGTTTTGAAGTGAGTGAACGCTGCAGGGTCTGGACTTCAGACTTTTAACCTGAGCATTGTATCGTTTGAGTCCGTGTAGCCTTAGAATTCGTAGCATTTCAGCTCACAGGGGCTTAGGGTTCAACGCTTAGCGTTTCCCAAGGATCGTTCGCTTTCATGCGCGTGCATCAGCATTTTAGGGTTCACTACTAGTTCACTGTTCCCATTTGGCTGATGAATCCCTTACCCCTACTTCGGAAGGCCTCCACCGAATATCAGATATGGCCCTGTGGAATTCAGTATGAGGAGCCCAGTTTGTGTGCCCCAAGGCATGGATATTTTGCAGCTGAGTAGCGTTTTGGGGGGGATGCTGGGGACTATACATCCCCAAGAGAATAGTGCCATCTTTCTTCACTCAACCATCAAAACAATCAAAACACGCTAATGTAGGGGCAGAAAGGATTCCCAGTCCTGGTAGAACTCTGGTACAGCTTCAAGTAGACCTCGAAATAACTATTAGGCTTCCACTATTAGGCTTCCCTACTTGGACCTCACAGTCCGCATAAACTCCCGTTTACCCACAGTGTTCATTGCATTTTCCGATTTGGTTTCCAGATGGTGCTCCGGTAGTGCTAAAGACAAACAGGCCCCAACACCAACCCTATATGAGCCAATGTCTCAACTCCTAGCATCCCCCTTAATAACCCTTGTAATGCCCACATACATATATATATATATACAAACACCTATATAACGCACTTTAGGAGTTAAAGCTATAGTAGTTATATCCCCTGTATATATTAATTACTCACGTGAGGTGGCTGAGAAGAACGAGCTGAAGCTACGTGTACTGGCGGCGCGCAATGCCTTGCAGAGCGGCTCATCGAAACTTTGTTTGAGTAGTATGTATGTGTATACATGGGCCCGCGTAGGGGTATTAGGTTCTGGGTCAATTGGAAAAAGAGAATGGAAACTACATTGGAATGGTATTTCAAATGCGGATACTAGAGGCCCCCTTCGAGAGTAAGACTATGTTCTCATTTTGGCCTTTGAAGATAACCTTACATAGCTCCAGCCCCCAGAAACACTCTTCATTCGAGCTCATCAGTTCTGAGGGCAGTACGGCGTTGCATCTCAACCATGCAGTGTGTTTGTGGGGCTTCATGGTGACGGTGAAGTTGCAACATGCTTTGGGGAGTTTTGCAGTGCAGGTGGAAAATCCAGATTGTGGTCCCCCTCTATTGAGCATTCCGTTGAACTAGCCCAAAGGTTCCGTGGCGACGTTTCAGCGCCTAGCAGTGGTACCTGGTACATAGTCAATCTTGTTACCTTGATGTATGCATGCGGTTGGGGCAACGGCTCTGTGGAGTGGGGACCGTCATTGCAAAACATCCATCATGGTCTCCTGCTCAATTTTGCGAAGTATGCTGCTTGTAGCCTTCTGCCCACCACCACCGACGCCGCCACCACCCCCACCTCAAGCACGACCACTACCACCTGCTGCTGCTGCTGATCAAAACCTGATTAAAACTGCTTTGCCGCCCTAAACTCCAAAGCATTCCCAGATGCGAATGTCCAAACTACTGTCCTCTGCATTCTGTCTATGCCAAAAACCTGACTTGCGCAAGATTTCTACGACAGCATGGACAACCTCTCGCGATCGCTTGAGCCGAAAATTGTGGATGCTTGGCATGCAGAACTCACAGCGTCAAAGTCGTTACTCAACAAAAGCAAGAGCTCCAGAGTCCCTGCAGGTTTGAGTAGTACTGAACACATGTCTTTCTGAGCAATGATGACATTTGCGTGTTTCCTTGGTTTGTCATCTTGTGTCATGGGACAATACACATACTACATACCCTCTCCTGGATGCTGTGCAGATGCGTTCTAACGTTGTTGAGCTCTGCAGCAGGCCGCAGACTGCACGGGCCTTGTCTCAGAACCCATAATCAAGGATCAATTTTGGGCTCACAGTTCCCCCAGCCCACCAAACTAATGAAAGCCCATAGAGCTTTTTAAACAAACGACTGTAGTCTTTGCAGGGCCTTTTAGGGCCCTTTTCGGAGTTCCATGTTATTTTGGGGTCTATAGCCTCAGAATGAATTCTCCATATGTTTGTCTCTAAGAACATCAAGGCTCGGCCTGGGCTTTATGTCCTAGTTAAAGCGTTAGGAAGGATTCTGGGTGAACATAAATATACACACACATATATTTATGAGGTAATAGAGGGGTTATATAGGGACAATGGAAAAGAGAATGGAAACTACCATCTGGGGTTTAGGTTTTGGGGTCAAGTAAGGGGGAAGCCAAGGGGAGCGCATTATATAGGGGGTGATACCGCAAACCATCCGTATAGCTTTTCTACTGTTACGTATTATCTTCTAATTGCTTCGGCCTCTTCACTATGCCCTTTCTGGGTTGATTACCAAGGACCCTGAAGTCAAGGCCTACGAACTTCTGCGCAAGGACCCTCTTGCTGTCGGAGCCATGTACCTTGGTCCTTTGAGGAGTGTAGGAAATTTGAAGTCGCAGAGTTAAGAGTTGAGGATTCAAGGTTTTGGGCCCTAAACCCTAAGCCCTAAACCCTAAAGCGTAATGTTGTATTTTCCCCAAGCTGATGCTGGCACAGAAAAGGTGCCATGGGGCTTCAAAAAAAACTAAAGCCTTGAGCCCAGTGTAGAGTGAGACCTGTGGAGGCTCCTTTGGCCAGGTAAGGAATGCCTGCTTCATGCCTTGGGGTCGTGCTCTGGGATTTGGGTAGCACTGGCCATGAAGTGGTGTTTTTCTTGTGGCCCGAGTGAGATAATCACTTGCCCCTGCGTAATCACGCATTTCCAGACGTTCCGCGGATGGAAAAGAGGGGCTGCAAAAAACAAAACTAAACCCTGGACTAGGGTTTCTGGAAGAAAATGAGCTTGAGATTTGGGGGCTGAGGTTCGAGGGATTAGGTGTACCTCAGCCAGAGCACCTCGCTCTGGTAAGGTAAAGCTTCATGAGAATGCTACACCTAACATGCTGCCTTAACATTTTACAGCCAAAGATCTGCGATCTCACGCTTGAAGCCCTAAACCCATATGGTAGTTTCCCAGAGTAGAGGGACCCCCTGTAGACCCCGATATATTATGCTCCTTATTATGGGGACCCCCAAAATGGTACCCCTAATTATGGGAAACCCTAAGCCCTATAAACCCCCATATAATCCCTATGAATCCCTATATTCCCCTATAAGACCTTCTAAACTCCTTTAAAGGTACCCCGAAATTATGGGAAACCCCCCCATATATCTAAACCCCTAAACCCTAAACCCTAAATAGTAGCTTCCATTTTCTTTTCCATTATCCTAACATTACCCCAATAAGGTACCCCTGTAGATAGCCCCCTTCAAAAGGTGTAGATTCCAGGCAAAGCTACAACCCTAAACCCTAAATAGTAGCTTCCATTTTCTTTTCCATTATCCCAATATTACCCCAATATTACCCCAATATATACCCTAATATACTCTAGTAGTTTCCATTTTCTTTTCCATT